ACTGCTACGACGACGACGACGGCGACTAGCACTACCACTACTCACTACTACACTGGACGCCACCCTTGGATGCCACCCCTGAGCCAATGTCAGTGCCAATAATGAGGGAAGCACAATGAAGACAGTATCAATCCCAGGCAAGTTCGCCTCCACCAAGGGTGGGAGCCACCCGTCTCCTGGATGAATCCATCGAGCGACTTTCTCCAAGGCCTGCTGTGCTCTCCTGCTCTCTGCCGTCTGGAAAAATCAATCGAGTTGTGAGTCTTTTCTCGCTCGCATGTGCGTCTGTGTATGAGTCTGCTGTCTGTTCCTAAGAGCTTCGGTGGCGAGTGACTGTAGCTGGACATGACAGCGCAACCCCACCCCACCACCAACCCCAGAAGAGAACTTCATTCCCCCCTTCAGCAGAGGCTCTACATGAGTCAGTATGAAAGGTATACAGGCGAAAGAGGTTCTTTGGTATACCATTGAGAGCCACATGAAGGGCTGTGTGGCATCACGTCTTCCTGCAACAGTACTCATCTGAATGATTCTGTTTTCTGCAAGTTCGAGCGTACGCTTCAAGGTTCGCCGCTTCAATCAAACTCCAATTTGAGCCCGGTTCCTGACCCCTCTTTAGTCAAAGCCTTCGCCCACACACACCTGTACCTGAATTGAGGCGAAAAACCTAGAATGGAACGCAATATGATGCTTCATATACTTCGGACATCTGCGAGTTCATCTGAACCTACCACGATGGATCCAAGTCTCTGGGCAACGACTTGTGTCCAGCACCAACGACATTGAGCTAGATTGCTTGTGCCACTTTGTGATGCCATGGGAGACTTCCTCATCGTATGCCTGCTTTCGGTGGGAGTGGAGAGCCGCTACCCTGACATTTTCCCCAACAGCTTCGAAGAGAGAGAGAGAGAGANNGATAGACAGAGAGATAGATAGATGGACGGAGATGGCCGGGGATAGACAGTGATAGGTAGATAGATTTTTTGGCACTCACTCTCGACACAGCAGGCGAGGCTCAGTATAGAAAAAAGATGAAAAGAGGGAGAAAGAGAGAGACATAGAGACAGAGTGACAGACAGCAGCACAGAGAGACAGACCGACAAACAGATAGACAGACTGTGTGTGTGTGTGCGTGTACACGGACGAAGGATCGTCGAACCGAGTTTTTCACGAGCACACGTCAAGCCACGTGTGAGCCTCAAGCTCCCCAGGTGTCGGAGCCAGACGTGGCGGTGCCTTGCAAACTCAGATGCCAGGAAGTTGCAGGCGGGACGTGAGCATCCCTCATTCTTCGGGCTTTCAATGGATCACGGCAGGTGGTGAGCTTGTCAACAAGCGATCGAGTTCCAAATCCCACTTATTGGAATTCGGGTGACCTCTATCTCGCAGTGCTCAGCCTCCTAATCGATGCTGCCAAAGCAACCACCAACCACCTGTGCAGTCGTCTTTTTCCCCGTTGTGCCGTGTAGCAGCGTAACAGATTGCAACATTCAGCTGGTCTGGCTTTTCCTTAGGTCCTAAGTACTCTGCGAAGACAATGCCACAGATGGAAATGTACCCGTACCGAAGCAACAATCGCACCCAGCACACCACGCATCCCGAACCCGGCTGCTGCTCAGGCTCCCACCTGCGGCATCCGCACAGCCTGCTCCGGCAAAGGCGCTGACGCCATCTTTGACACCGGTCTGGGTTCTCGCAGCTCAGTGCCGCAAAGGCCGCTGCAGCAGTGACCCAAATATCGGAGCATGGCCCTTGACAAAAGCTAGAAACTCGCTCGGTCTACAGTCGCCGGCTAACCAACCAGCACTAAGCTCTGTGTGCCATGGCAAGCGGGATCGCTGCCGTGTTGGGTGGGAAGGGAACGGCTGCCGCTACGTGGCCCGAACCCGGAATTTGGGTTGGGAGGTTGGTAAATTAAGATAAGCTCACCGAACAACCTGACATGCAGATGCCCCGCCAGATCCTTTGCGGAACCCTCGGGTCTGAGCAAGAACCAAACGACAGATTTGGCAGCAATAAGCGCTCTTTTGAAAAGCTATGAAGGCAGGAAGTATGCAGCTGCAACGGGCCTTTCGGGTTACACACACACACANNCATGCATGCATGCTTGCATGCATGATGTACGGGTGTATCAACGTATGGATCTAGGGAGGTATATAGTTGGGTCGGGAGGTCGGCAGGCCGGTAGTTGGGTAGGTTCGGTATCGAGGTAGGCAGGGTGGGCAGGAGGCAAGCAAGCAGGCAGATGTATGTATGCATGCATGCATGNNTGCACGCATGCACGCATGCACGTATGACTTGATACGCGGATATCCGTGTGATTCTGTATGTATGATGTATGTATTCATGCATGCAACTATATATGTTTAGTTTAGTTGTATCAGTATATCACTAGCCGTATGTATGCGCTGCATGCATGTACTTGCGTACGTGCATGGGTACGTACGTATGTATATTGGCTCCCACTTGGCACGGTCCACAGACACTGCATGGCAGGTGTCAATGGTTTAATCTGCTTGACTGCTAGTATAGCTTTGTTATGCGAAGGTTCTTACATGTATTTACGCTTCTCGTTTTACCGGGCAGCCGGCATTAAATCATCGTTCTGTTTTACTCTTCCGTTCCGTTTTCAAGACAAACCAGTTTCTCACTCAACTCAAGCATGCATACATACATACATACA